GACACCTCATGCGTACGCTTGCTTGCTCTGTGCGTGTTGCTTGCAAGCACCCACAACTTCCCTTGCTTCCACCTTGTTCACTCCACAACGCTCCTCAGTCTACTCACTCGCCACTGTGCCACAGCATCACCCACCATGCCTGCACGCATCTGCAATCGTCCCTTTCTCAATCCACACCTTCATTCACACACTGCTCTGTCACTCCCTCGCCACTCCACTTCCCTCCACTCCACTTCACTCAGCAGCTCCTTAGATTCACTCTCCAACATCACCTGCGCTTCCTCTCTCGCCTCCAGCAGCGATATGTTCAGGTGCGTAAGAAGCTCGCTGCAATCGCCTCCTCCTCTTCCCTCTTCGTGCATGCTTGCTACTGCTTGCAATGTTTGTGCTCCTGCTTCCTTCGCTCCACCGCCACAATCACAGTCACAACACAACACAACACAACACACACATCCATGCATGTGCCGCTTTGTCCCTTTGTGTCACCCTTCACTCATTTTCTCCTTTCTCTTCCCTTTGCCTTTCCACATTCCATGCGTTGCATTGTTGCTTTGCACTTGTTGCCACATGCTTCATTCAACCTTGGCTCTCTCCCTCTCTTCCATCCACTCACCGCCACACAGTACGTATCCTCACAACATCACTCGTCCTTCACTTCACACAACACAACACAATACCACAACCAACCGCTGTGTGCATTCGTGTTTCCCTTCGTCCCCTTCTGTCACCACCTTGTCACCACAAGCCTTGTTTGTCTATTTCACCTGCGTTCCACCACCCTTCCTGTCTTGTTTCAATTCTTGCCACTGCTGTTGCTGTTTCCATGTGCTTGCATGCCTTCCCTTGTCCCTGTTCACTACTTTGTGCCGCCACTCCTTCCCTTCCCCTTCCCCTTACCTTTCCTGCCTCGTTCATGTTTCATGCTGCCCGTGTTACAGCACATCGTAAACCCATCAAGCCCACACCGCCGCCTTCTTCACCACCATCCCTGTTCACATCCATCACCAGTCGCTGCCGCCATCACTCGCTTCATCCTTTCCCCCATCCCCACGTTCACAGCTGCTGCTGTCCTCTGCTGCTGTCCTCACCTTCATGCAACACCCACTCCACAGCCGCACGACCAGCTCGCCACTAACCCAAGTCACATCACAACAACACACACTGTGTTTACTTCACCGCAACCATCCACCACCAGCAGCAGCATCACACGATACACACAGCTGCACATGCATGTTGCATTGTATGTTTCCACTTCACTTCAACAACACGACAGCAAGCAAGCAAACACACGCACACACGTGGCAAGAATAAGCGAGAAAACATCCCCATATCAACTGCAAGCAACACACACACACACACACGCAACAAGCGACAGCTCCATGCTACGCCACACCGCTTCACGGCCCCATCAACCGCCAACATCACCTTCAGCCAACAACAACAACAGCAGCAGCAGTGTGCATGCTGTGGTAAGAGAGAAGAGAGAGAAAGGGAAAGGGAGGGGAGGAAGTCAGAGGGATACAAGGAGTGAGACGTGCACGCTGTCAACAACAACAGAACACAACAACACAACACATACACAATGTAACACCACCCCCTCACGCTCCCCTTCTTCTCCAACGAGGTGCGTGGTCTATGGCAGCCCCACGTCTTGCTTGCTTGTCCTGTGTCCATGCTTGCTCGTGTCCTTGCTTGGTTGCGCGTGCCATGCCATGTGTTCCAGCAAACAGCCTGCACAAGTGTGCACAAGCGTCCATGAGTGTGCATGTGCATGTGCGTGTGAGGGGATGACAAAGAGGAAGAGGGAAGGGAGCAGAAGAAGAAGAAAGGGGGAGATGGGGAGGTGCGTGAGCACAGACGATGGTGATGGGTGCACACTACGTGGTTATGGTGAACAGACACACACACAATCACACAGCGAAGCAGCAACGCACAACAGACACAACAGACACAAACGGGGGGAAACAAGAGCAGCAGCAGCGCAACACACACACACACACGTACCAAGGGAAGGACATCAGCCAGCCAGCCAGCATCCAGCACCCCTTGCATTGACTGGACTGGTCCTTCCATGCACCAG